AATTCAAATTTGCTAGTGGAATTTGAAATAAAATAATGGAACTGTTATTGAAACTAATCTTTACTATAAAAATGTTTTGTAGCGGAGTGCTAATTTATCTATCGAATTGCAGATATAATTTTCTTTTCGTTTGATTTCTGCCTGTGAATCAGTCAGTCCAAATTTTGAAAGTAATCAAAAAAATGTACTACTTGACCTTTTTCAAACATTTCGGTAGTCTAGAAGAAGTTAAATTTACAGAAAAACGTAGCCTCACCATTCTTGTTCTAGGTAAAGGGCACTGGAAGGAATGCGGTCGAACCGAACGATTGCAAAACACCCTCAATCCTGAATGGGCTACACCCTTGCGAATTGAGTATTTCTTTGAAGAGAAACAATCGATGAAGTTCGAAGTGTGAGTTCCCGAGAAATAACTTTTATAGAGGAACTACTATGAATGAATAGGAAACTTATACGATTTTATATTCAGTTTTTACGGCATTAGAAAATATGCTACATGCTCAAAAGTCACTAAAGACGGCACTGCTTTCTCTTTTTGCAGCAGGAACAGAACAGGATTATACTCGAATTCATGGCTTCAATCCTTCTCATTCACATTTTGAATCGGTTCCAAATTTAAACGTCCTTTGTTCTCTGAAACCATTTACTTGATACTTCTGTGATGAAAGCAGTTTGATATCTGGCAGAAAAATTGTGGAAAAATTTCCACATTTTTTGACCTCAGAAGTAGTAAAAAAATACACAGGTTATCCCCATAACGCCTCAGTAAGAAACGAAGTTCTGTGAACTCAGTTATTTCGAATTTTCGAAAATAAGCATATTTTATTCTATTTTATCATCCCTTTCAGTTATGATATTGACTCCGACTCTCCCGAACTCTCCGCTCATGACTTCCTTGGACGGATGGAATGTGATCTTGCCGAAATTGTCTCAAATCGCCCCTTTGTTAAACAGCTCAGGTACAACGTTTTCGTGAAATTACTGAGTCTGGTTTCAGCCTTTTTTCTTTCAGTGGTCTCAAAGGCTACTGTGGTGAGATAACCATTTGGAGCGAAGAGATTGACGAAGGCTCTAAGGAAAACATCGAATTTCATCTCAGTGCAAGAAAACTTGACAAGAAAGATTTCTTTGGGAAATCAGATCCATTTCTCAACATTTATCGATTAGAGGATGATGGCAGGTAGTTTATTTACATCTTTTATCCTTGACAAATCAGCGTCAGATCTGTTTTAGCCGAATCCTGGTGTATCGAACGGAAGCTATCATGAAGGAGCTGAATCCCACATGGAAGCCTTTCGAAGTTAATTCAAAGTTACTTTGTCATGGCGATCGAGACAAGTAAGTTTCAAAATTTTATAAGATAGCAAGTTGTTCTGCGAGGCTCATCCTTCTCAAATTTTAGTGTAAATGTATCTTTCACTATTTCACTACTTATCCTTCCATTTTGGGTCTTGATCTCTATTTTTTAATACTTCAAAAATTCACCTGTTATCAAGTATTTTATTGTTTGACTATGAAGCAGTTGGCTATTTGATGCATCTTCCAAAAATATCATTGATTGGAGGGAAAATGTTTTTTAACAGAA